ATAACAGCCTACTTCAGTAGGCTCCATGCTGATGCAAATTGTTGTTTCACACTGGAAATGCATTATTAGCTGAAAAAACTTACCTTTGTAACCAGGTCCTACTGCGAGGTTAGTGAATGTTAAAATGGCTGAAACCTCAGTTTTGTTACAATTAGACTCTGGTCACCGGTGCCTGCTTGTAGTGCACGTGCAGGTTCTGCATCTTCACTGATACCAGACTATGGAATCTGCTCCCAAAAGCAAATGAAGAAATTATTCATCATAACTGATAATTAGTTAATATCTTGTCCATGCTATCAGTCTTATATCAGTGCTATCAATTGATAAAAGGAACTGAGAAGGACCTTACAGTATTAACAAGGTGGTACTTGTTAACAAGGTGGTACTTGTTAGAAATAAGAGTTTGTTTGTTTATTTATTTATTTTGCAGAGATAGCATTAAATATGCTCTAAGACAACTGAAGCAGAAGAAACAAGAACTGAGATTATGCTTTTCTTTCTGCGTTTGGCTGACTTAAGAGAATGTGGAACTCTTATGGCTAATTGAAAGGTTTCTTTTCAGTCTCCAGGCCATAAGTTAAAATTCTCTTATATCATGCTGCCTATTCAAACAAGGAGAAATCTTTGTCATGCTATAGTACACAACCTCAATTCCCAAACCTGCAAGTATTTCATTCCTTATCAGTTAGATTTCTTCTATTTCCATTAACTTCAAACTCAGAAAAGGTTTTAATTTACGTGCAAAGAAATAGACGTGAAATATATCTTGAAACAGAGGTGAAATATATAATAAAAAAAAGTAACATACTGTTCAGTACAGACTGCACAGCCATTCCATTGAGCACTTGGTAACACTGCAGCTCTGCTTTCATTGCAGCTTTGTTCCAAAATAAGGCCATGTAGATCAACAAATTCATTCAGGGGGTTTTATGTGGGAGGAAGAAAAAAGAGAAGGTGGGGGAAAAAAAAAAAGAAAAAAGATAGCGGACTGAACCCCTGAACAAACCTTAATCTTGTCTGATTGTTAGACTTATTGAGTCTTTAAACTTTCTCTTCTCATCCACCTGGAGTGCCATCTCTGACGAATTGTGTCTATAGTGCAACATCTTTAAGCAGGCAAATAATGCCCAGAACCCTCTAATGACAACAGGTGACCACTCTGGTTTCTAATAGCAGCCTTCGGTGCTCCCCAGCACTCAGGGTTGTTGCACCACAGGTACCAGATGTGAGTTTTTGCGAACGGAGAGAAGATGTTTCCCAAAATAAGAGGAGAAACATCAACTACTTATGAATCTGTGTTATGAATCCGAGGCCTAATTTTTACATCCTAATTTGTCAGACTCTTGTTAGACTGATCTTGTCTCAGTAACAATTTGACCAAAGGTGGGTTCTTGGAAATTTGAAAGCTGCATGCATATACATCTACCTTTCCAGATACTCATCAAGAATCTTAAAAACTGGCTGCAGAAATCTGACAACTCAGCATGTCAGATATTGTGATCACTACCTGGAGAAGTGCAAGTTCAAAGACAAATGCATTTATATCCATTTCTGCAAGAACACATAAATTTCTGCTCCAAGATTTTAATAAAACTCTTGTTAAAAATATCCCCCTCCCAAAGTAATGCTCAGAAAATACATAACCTTTTCCCCACTGTTTTTTATTATTATGTGGCAACAAATCTGGGAGAACATAAGTTATTCCTGTCTACAGTACTTCTCAATCAGTTTCTTGGCCTTTTCAGGTGCTTTTCTGTGCTGCAAGAAAGAACCCTCAGGTGCCCTGTAACATCAGCATGACAGTCCCTCATTTTGAGACCAGCCTCAAAACTGATTTATTGAGATGGATATTCTTGCTCCTGGCATTAACAATCGTTGGAACAAGGCAGAAGCCCCCTTTAAGATAATTTGTTTTAACCAGCTTTGACGGTAACACAGTTCCATGAGCCACAGGAAGTTTCTTCTTTAACCCAGCCAGATGCATTTTTGTTGAGCACGGGTTTCCCTGGACACAGGTGTGACTGTATCCCCCCCTCAAATTCCCCCCCCCCAACCCCTTCCACTTCCCTTCTCCCTCAAAGCTGTGTAAAGTCCAGCATTGTCACGGGTTTGTAGAGCCCTCCTGCCTCAGGCTCTCTTCTCAACCCCTCTTTAAGTAATATATCGATCTTTTATTTCACCCATTCAAATCGTGTCTTCTTCCACTCACTGTTCATAAAGCAGCTGTTACTCCTCTTCATTATCTTCAAAGTACGGCTGGTAAATTACATAGAGGGAAATAGTCTTGTGGAGTTTGCTAAGCACAATTCTGTATACACAGGAAACAGTAATATGAAAGGAAAGAAATAGAACAGTTGGGGCCTCAGAATAAAAGTTTTCAGCTTGAAAATAAATTTTAA